TGTGAAACTGATGATGTGCCCTGTAAACTTTCACTCAATCCACAATAAAAACCTTAAAAAAAAAAAAAAAGATAGGAAAAAAACAAAAGACAAAAAATGGATGTCAGAAGACTGAAGAAATGATGAAGTAAATAAGGTGAACAGAAAATTTCAAAGAGCGGTCCAAGAAGACAAAATATTATAATGAAATGTCAAAGACTTGGAGTTAGGGAAGAACATGTTCAGTATTTTCTCAAGCTGAAAGAAATGAATAAAAAATTCAAGCCTCAGATTACAATATTGACGGATTCTATAGGGAAATATTGAATAATGTAGGAAGCAACAAAGAAGATGGAAGGAATACACCAAATCACTGTACCAAAAAGAACTGGTTGATACTCAACCATTCCAAAGGTAGCATATGATCAAAAACCATGGTATTGAAGGAAAAAGCACAAGCTGCACTGAAAGCATTGATGAAAAACAAGGCTCCAGGAACTGATGGAATGCAAATGGAAAACTTTCAACAAACTGATGAAGTACTGGAGGCACACACTCATCTATGTCAAGAAATGTGGCAGACAGTTACCTGGTCAATTGATTTGAAGACATACGTATTTGTGCTCATTCCAAAGAAAGGTGATCCAATTGAATGTGAAAATCATCAAATAATATCATTAATATCACATGCAAATACAATTTTGCTCAAGATAATACAAAAACAGCTAGAGCAGTACACTGACAGGGAGCTGCCAGAAATACAAGCCAGATTCTGAAGAGGATGTGAAACTAAGGACATCACATTGCTGATGTCAGATGGATCTTGGCTAAAAGCAAAGAATATCAGAAACATGTTTACTTGTGCTTTATTGACTATGCAATGGCATTTGAATGTGTGAATCATCACACACTAAGGATAATATTGTGAAGCATGGGCATTCCAGAATTATGATCATAAGAAACGTACATATGCCAAGAGGCAGTCGTTTGAAAAGAACAAGGGGATACTGAATGGTTTAAAATGAGGAAAAGTGTGCACCAGGGTTGTATCCTTTTATCATACTTATTCAATCAATATGCTGAGCAAACAATCTATAAAGGTGGTTTCTATGAAAGAACTTGGCATTAAGATTGAAGGAAGACTCATTAACAATCTGAGATATGTAAATGATACAACTTTGTTTGCTGGAAGCAAAGAGAACTTAAAATACTTACTGATGAAGATCAAAGACTTAAGTATGGATGTACCTCAATGTAAAGAAACAAAAGTCCTCACAACTGAATCAATAAATAACATCATGATAAACAGAAGACTGAAGTTGTAAAAGACTTCATTTTGCTTGGATACACAATTAACTAACTCATGAAAGTGAAGTCAAGAAATCAAATGACGTATTGCATTAGGTAAATCTGCTGCACAAGACTTTGTTAAAGTATTCATGTCAGTTTGAGGACTAAAGTGCGCCTCACCCAACCCATAAAATTTTCAATTGCCTCATATACACGCAAAAGGTAGACACTGAAGAAGGAAGACTAGAGAAGAATTAGTGCATTTTCATTATGGTGCTGGTGAAGAAACGTGAAAATACCATGGACTGCCAGAAGAACAAATAAATCTATCTTGAAAGTACAGCTAGAATGCTCATTAGAAAAGGGGATGGTGAAATTCTGCCTCTTGCTCTTTGGACATGTAAAGAGGGATCAGTACCTAAAAAAGGACATTATGCCTTGTAAAGCGGAGGGTCAATGAAAAAGAGGAAGACGTTCAACAAGATGTACTGATCTAGTGTCAGCAACAGTAGGCTTAAACACAACAATTTTACAGAATGTGCACGATCAGATGTTACCAACAATCACCGTCTGCCACTTAGCTAAAAGATGACCTTAAGGGTGATTTAAGTTTTAAAGAGTCCTGTAGGTGACTTTCTTCTTTGGGTCTTTGGTTTCTTCTTTCTCTTTTGTTCTGGACAAGCTGAATTCAATAGCTGTATCCTTGATGGCCGCTTGAATGCTGTGAAGATCCCCAGACTACTCACCACATTGGGATATAGAACATAGACGTTATAAACTAATTATGCATATTAACTTGAGTTGTCATGAAACTACAACCCTAAGTCTTTGAACTCAGAAAACCTGTCTCAGATATTAAGAAGTATCTGTAACTATGTCCCTTATATGGTTTATTATATATACGAATATACACATGTGTACACATATACATATGTTCCTAAGATATATCCACCTGTGCACACATATGTATCCACATATTTATTTTACACACATGTGCCTATACATATATCTGTGTAACTACATTTTTTTGTTGTTGGTATCATATTACCTTTCTATAATCTGAATTCTTGACTTCTGAAACACATCTGGCACCAGAAGTTTCAGATAAGGAACTATGGACCTACAAATCAGTCAGGAACTATCTCATTTTAAACTTTACATACTTCTTTATTGTTGAGTTCTAGAACAGCCAGTCCAACCAATGCTCCCACACATTTGGAATTGAGTTCCAGGGCTCTGCTGAATGCCAGACGAGCTTTCTCCAGTTTGTTAAGCTTCACAAAGCAATGACCCATTCCTAAACGAACTTCCGCTAAAAATACAAAATTAGATATTCAATTTGTCAAACAAGCATTTTTGAGGTTCAAATTCAGTAAGAGTAATAAATCTTTCTCTATTTATGAGTTCCAATAGCCATACACTAATCTCACTACAACAATGTAAAATCTTCTGCTAGCCTATAAATATGGTTTCACTAGCGGTTAAATTATATCACTTTTTATTCCCCACCCCAGTCATGGGTTCCTGTCTCACTATAGTACACAACACCTTTGATACTGGTATTTCTCTTCTCTCCTAACATACCTATTAAACATCCCTCTTTACTGTGTCACTCTCATCCACACACAATCATTTCCCATCTTGAAAAAACAATCTTCTCTTGATCCCATTTCCCTTTCCAGCTTTCAACCCATTCCTTGATAGCACAACTCCTTGGGAGGTCTGTCACACTTGTTCCCTCCAATTTCTTTCCTTCTATTTTCTTTTGAATTGATTCCAAGGAGGCTATCATCTGCATCACCAGTAAAGCAACTTTTATTAAGGTTATTTAGAATTTCTATGTTGTAAAACTCAATGGTCAATTCTCAGTCTCTATCTGGTCAAACCTACCAGTTGTTCCTCTGAAACCCTATAGAGAGTCACTGAGTTTGAACCAACTTGATGGCACTTAATAACCGACCACAATATCTGGCCCAATAACAGCATTGGACTATTGATCATTCTCTTCTATAAACACTACATTTGGCTTCAAGGTTTTCCTCTTATAGCTATGCCTGCAAATTCTTAGGCTACTTTGCTGATTCCTCATCTCCCAACTTCTGCAAGTTAGAATGTCTCACAGTTCCACTTACAGACCTATTTTCTATTATGCTCACTCCTTTGGTTAATTCACATATATATTGCTCAAGAGAAATTTGCTAAATAAATGAGATTTTGGAAAGAAAAGTAGTACAGAGCAAAAAGATTACACTATGACCTATTATCCAGCTTTTACATCAAACATAATCAAAAATCAAATAATATACACTATTCCGTAATTTCAATGATCCAATGATTACAATTGCCAAATCATCAGTATTTTATGTTGGGTACCCTTACCTGGACATCCTGGGTTAGTGCGTAATGCTTTCTTGTAGTAAGCAAGAGCTCCTCTGTAATCCTTCTTGTTGAATGAAATGCAAGCTTTACCTGCAATGATTTTTTAAAATAAGCACATAATGTCTAACTAAAGAACACAGGTTAAATATGCTTTATACGAATTTACCTTTTGTTATTGTTAATTGTTGTTGAGTAGGTTCTGACTGACGCATAGTGACCCTGTATAGGGTTTCTGAGCAGCAACTGGTGGGTTTGAATTGCATTAGCTGTCTAGTGCTTATCCTACAGTGCCATACCAGAACTCCCTACTTACCTAGTTCCCTAAAAATAATGCTGATGTCCTATTAAAATTTGTTTACTATGTTGTTGTTAGGTGCCGTCCAGTTGGTTCCCACCCAGAGACCCTATGCACAAAAGAATGAAACATTGCCTGGTCCTTCATCATCCTCACAAATGTCGGTACTTTTGAGCCCATTGCTGTAGCCACTGTGTCAATCCAGCTCACTGGGGGCGGGGGTGTCTTCCTCTTTTTTTTTTTTTTTTTTTTTTGCTGACCCTCCTTTTTAGCAAGCATGATGTCCTTCTCTAGGCCCCTCCTGATAACATGTCTGAAGTATGAGAGATGAAGTCTGGCTATCCTGGCCCCTAAGGAGTATTCTGGCTACACTAGTCCCTGGTACTTTTATATTCTTCTCCAACATCATAACTCAAATACATGGAGTCTTCTATGATACTCCTTATTCTATGTCTAACTTTCAAGTGCATATGTTGTTGTTGTTGTTGTTAAGTGCCGTCGAGTCGATTCCGACCCATAGCGACCCTGTATAGGGTTTCTAAGGAGTAGCTGGTAAGCTTGAACCGCCAACCTTGCAGTTCAAACAGCTTTGCAGTCTGGTGCATTAATCCACAGTGCCACACCAGTACTCCAAGTGCATATGAGGCAACTGAAAATACCATGGCTTGGATCAGGAGCATCTTAGTCCTCAAAGTAATATCTTTTGCTCTTTAACACTTTAAAGAAGTCCTGTACAACAGATTTTCCCAATGTAATACGTGTTTTGATTTATTGACTGCTATTTCCATAAGGAGCTCTGGTAGCATAGTGGTTACGAATTGGGCTGCGAGTTGCAAGGTCAGCAGTTTGAAACTACCAGCTGTTTCCCGGGAGAAAGATGAGGCTTTCTGCTCCCGTAAAGATTTACAGCCTCGGAAATCCTGTACATGGTCGCTATGAGTCGGAACCGACTCCACGGCACATAACAACAACAATAACATTTCCATAAGTGGAGTCCTGGTGTGGCACCATGGAATAAGCACTTGACCCTCAAGGTTGGCAGTTCAAACATCAGCCTCTCCTTGGAAACCCTATACAGGGTTGCTATGAGTTGGAATGACTCAATGGCATGTAACAATACTTCCAGAGTAGATTGTGGATCCAAGCAAAATAGTCTTTGACAACTTCAATCTTTTCTACCTTTAAAACAATGTTATTTACTGGTCCGGTTATAAGGATTTGTGTGTGTGTGTTGTTGTTTTTTTTACACTGAGGTGCAATCCATACTGAAAGCTATAGTCTTTGGTTTTCATCAGTAAGTACTGTAAGTCTTCTTACTTCCAGCATGCAAAGTTGTCATCTGCATATTGCAAGTTGTTAATGAGTCTTCCTCCAATCCTGATGCCATATTCTTCTTCATAGAATCCAACTTCTTTGATTATTGGCTCAGCATAGATATTGAGTAAATTGGTACACACATTTCCTGATTTAAAACCATTCATTATTAAAAAAAAACAACCATTCATTATACCCACCCTGTTCTGTTTGAAAGACTGTCTTGTAGTACAAGTTCCTTATGAGCACAATTAAGTTCTGGGAATACCCATCCTTTGCAATGTTATCCATAGTTTGTTATGATCCATACAATCAAAAACCTTTGTATAGTCAATAAAACACAAATACACATTGAAGGACCTTGCGCCTGATCAACAGAATGGCATTGCAACTACCCCCGCCCAAAATCTCCATAGCCCCACCCATTGTAAACTTGCCAGAACTGTACCCAGACCACATCGCCTTAAATACCGGAGTTTGTATTGTTGTAAAACTAAATACCGGAGAACAGACGGGCTCTTGGTCTCCTTTGGAGACTTAAGAATACCCCCTCCCAGGTTTACTCTCAATAAACCTGCCTGCTGTTAAAGCTAAGACTCTCTCCTTCGTGTCTCTCTTTCTTTTCCTTACACACATCTTTCTGATATTATCTGCTTTTAGCCAAGAGTCACTTGACATCAGCAATGATATCCCTAATTCCACATTTTCTGAATCTGGCTTGAATTTCTGGCAGTTCCCTGTCGATGTAGCTACCATTTTTTTGTTTGTTTTTGAGTTTTTATTGTGAATTGAGTGATAGTTTACATGGGAGAACATTGGTTTTACATTTGTTTCATTGCAATGATTACAATCTTCTCCATGCATCATCATTTGACAGTATTTGCTTCCCTCTGTTGGGGGGCGGAATGTACACAAAAACACTCAGGAATATATACTAATTTAAACCACCGAAAGGCACATTCTATAAGCCTGCCTCCTGGCCGCCAGCCCTCATTCATTCTCTTTCTATGCATCTAGAGTACTCAGCTGCTCTCTCTATGTCCTCATCTCTGCCTCCATCTCTGGTGTCACTGCTTCTCTGGATAGGATCCCACATTACGATTGTGGCACTGTTTTTTAATTATTCGATGATTTCTCATTCCACTGGGTCACCTTTTTTTGGAATGAGCACAAATATGGATCTCTTCCAAATGGTTGGTCAGGTGACTGCCTTTCAAATTTCTTGGCACAGATGAGTGAGTGCCTCCAGTGCTGCATCAGTCTGTTAAAAGATTTCAATTTGTGTTCCATCAACTCCTGGATCCTTGTTTTGCTTTGCCAGTTTGGACTTCTTTCAGTACCATTGGTTCTTGATCATATGCTACCTCTTACAATGGTTGAATATTGACCATTTCTTTTTGGTACAGTGAAGATGTATTCCTTCCGTCTTGTTTCAATACTTTCTACATCATTCAATATTTTGTCTATTTGTCAATTGTTAAGTGCTGTCAAGTTGGTTCTGACTCAGTGACCCTGTATTGGGTTTCTAAGGAGTGGTTGGTGAGTCTGAATGGCTGACAATGTGGTTTGCAGCCTAGTGCTTATCCTGCCCATAAAATCATTCAATACTGCAAGCTGACTTTCATTTTTGATTTAGTTCTTTCAGCTTGAGAAATGCTGAGCGTGTTCTCTTTTGGTTTTTAACTTAAGGTCTTTGTATATTTCACTATAATACTTGACTTTGTCTTCTTGTGCTACCCTTTGAAGTTTTCGGTTTAGCTCTTTTACTTCATTTCTTCCATCCTATTTAGCGTCTCTACACTCAAGAGCATATGTCAAAGTCTCTTTTGACATCCATTTTTGTCTTTTCTTTCTTTCCTGTATTTTTAATAACTTTTTGCTTTCTTCCTGTGATGTTCTTAATGTCATCCCACGATACCTGGTCTTTTAGTATCTAATATATAAATCTGTACGAGATGGTCTCAAAATTAGGTAGGATATATTCAAAGTCTTATTTTGGTCCTTATGGAGTTAATTTTCTTCCGTTTCAGCCTGAACTTGCATATAAACAATTGATGGGTCTGTTCCAAAGTCTGCCCCTGGCCTTGTTTTGGTTGATGATATTGAACTTCTCCACAATTCCTTTCCAAAAATGTAGTCAATTTCTATTTGGTGAGGTCCCCTTTTATGTTGCTGAAAAAAGGCAATTTGTGATGAACAAGTTGATGGTCTTGCAAAATTCTATCATGTGATCTCTAGCATCATTTCTATCACTAGTGTCTTATTTTCCAACTACTGATTCTGGCTCTTTCTGCCTAAACTTTTACATTTCAATCACCAGTAATAATCAACACATCTTCATTGCAAGTCTGATCAATTTCAGACTGAAGAAGTTGGCATAATTCTTCAATTTCATCATAAATTTCCTTATGGTGGTGGTGGCTATGTGATGTGGTGTCAGTTCCAACTCACGGGGACCCTGCATAGGGTTTCTGAGGCTGTAAATCTTAGGGAAGCAGAAAGTCTCATCTTTCTCCAACATAACAGGCGGCAGTTTCGAACTGCTGACTTTGAGGTTAACAGTCCGACTTATAACCACACTACCGGAGCGCTTTACATTTCCCTATAGGCATATGTATATTTTCCTATTATAGACAGCACTGCACTTCAAGATATACCTTGAAATGTTCTTTTTGACGATGCGTATTATTTGTGGCATAATTAACCATAAGACTGATTCAAAATGGCCAATATCAGTCCATTTTAGGTCCTTGTGTGATGTTGTCAGTAAGTACTGGACTTCTAACCCCAAGGTCAATGGTTCAAACCCACCAGCCGCTCCTTGGAAACCCTACACAGGTTGCTGAGTTGAAACTGGCTCTATGGCACTTAACAATACCTAGGATATCAATCTTTACATGTTCCATTTCATTTTTGACAAATTATTTTCCTAAACTGTATTAATTTATGCCTGTAAATAGAACAGTCTTAATCTTTTTAAAAAAAAATCTTTCATTTATTCATCTACAAAATAGGTAGAATAGTGTTTCCCATGTAGAGGGATTGAAAAATAATTCAATACAGCAGTAACTACAGATACACTGGCCTAGTCTTGGACATGCTGTGGTTGTTAGGTGCCTTCACGTCAGCTTTGACTCACAGTAATCTTATATACAACAGGAGGAAACAGTATCTTCCTCACTATTGGTATATTTAAGGCAATTGGTGCAGACATTCTATCAATCCATTTCCTTGTAGGGTCTTCCTTTTTTTCTCTAACCCTCTACTTCACCAAACATGATGTCCTTTTCAAGGTCCCTCTGGTAGTGTAGTGGTTACGAATCGGGCTGTGAACCGCAAGGCCAGAAGTTCGAAACTACCAGCTGTTTCGTGGGAGACAGATGAGGCTTTCTGCTCCTGTAAAGACTTACAGCCTCGGAAACCCTGTACAGGGTCACTGAGTCAGTTCCGACTCCACGGTATATAACCACCACCACTACTGACAACATGTCCAAAATACGAAAGAGGTAGTTTCACCATCCTCAATTCTAATGAACACTCTGGCTATACATTTTTAAACACAGATTTGTTTGTTCTGGCAGTTCACTGTACTTTCAATATTTTTCACAAACACCATAGTTCAAATGCAGAAGTCTTATCTTTATGTAGATAAAGTCTTATTTTTATGTAGTGGAGTCCTGGTGTGGTGCTGCGAGTTCATGTACTGGACTGCAAAGTTCGTTTAAATGGCAAGGCTGGCAGTATAAGCTCACTGGCCGCTCCTCAGAGATCCTATACAGAGCTGCTATAGGTCGGAATTGACTTGACGGCACTTAACAACAACAACAACATTTATGTATCTTTGAAAAAATAGCTAAAATAGCTTGTTGTTGTTGTTGTTAAGTACCGTTGAGTCGGTTCCGACCCATAGCGACCCTGTACAGGGTTTCCGAGGGTGTAAATCTTTACGGGAGTAGAAAACCTCATCTTTCTCCCGCGGAGCGGCTGGTAGTTTCGAACCACTGACCTTAAGGTTCGCAGCCTGATTCGTAACCACTACGCTACGTTATCTAAATAACTTCAGTAAGAGTTTCACTGAATCTTTAGAAGGAAATAACAAATTACTCCAGGTATAAATTTTCTTGCTGTAATTTTAATAGAAATGATAATTTGCTATAGACAGTTCCATTTTGTAAAGACAAAGCTCTTCTACGATCAGGCCTACTTTCTACATAATTTACAAAGAGACAAATTTGAGGAATATGCTGAAAAAAATAGATTCCTTAAAAGACTGCTAAAGATCACTTACCTAGAAGGGCTGGAATATTATTTGGAGACTGATTGAGTACAAAATGAAACTGTGCATCAGCTTGATCCATTTTGTCACCTTCAAGTAGGCAGAAACAGGCCCTTCCCAACAAATGGTTCTGAAAAGTCAAACATCACCTTAGACTTTTCTTTTACCAAGGACCAACTACATTTAACAACAAAATGTAACCCTAAAATGAAAACTATAGGGAGAAGGTGCAGCACCATACAAATTCCTCTAGCAACTGTAACATGTTTAAGTTACCAACAAGCAATTCTTAAATTACAAATTAAGAAACTATCCTGAATTGCAAGTCTTCTGTGCCAGAAACAATGAAAAATGTTCAAATTACATAAAATGAATGAAATACACATGGAGATGTTGGAATTACTGAGCCAACACAATTTATATGCTAAGTTTGTCCACGGCACTCAATACATAAGCCCTAAGAAAATTTCCATTTTAGCGAGGAATTCTTTTTCTTGAACAACCACATTATTTGTTGCTATCATACACATTTGCTTTCATGTTTTTCTCCCTTTCATAAATTCAACGAAATATGACTTATTTTACCTGATCATACATTATAATTTTATCAGCCATCGTATACAACAGTGTTGCCTGTGTAATAAGATCCTTCTTATTGTCCTTGTTCTTTTCCTTCCGAGCCTGTTGTACATAGTAGGCCGCCAATGTATCCAAGCAAGTCATTTGGTCTTTTTCATGATCTCTATAGTCCAAGTTACCATCTATACGAGCTGCTTCCAACAATTTTACAAATTCTTCTGTTTTTCCTTGCTTGTAGTATTCCAGCTATAAGGTAAAGGATTATATTAGAATCACTAAAGCATAAGAATGAAGTAGCTTTGGTATTACTCTAAAATGGATCCTACTTGGCAATAAAAATAATGAACACACTACAATAAGGATAAATCTCAATATGGCTAAATCTCAACATAATTTTCCAAGTTGAATGAAAGAAGTCATATCAAAAGAGAGTACATACCATATCGGTCCATTTATATCAAATGTGGGAAAATGCAAACTAACCTTTAGTGATAAATAGATTAGTGGACACCTAGGGATTGGGGGGGTGCGGGGAATGTTTGGGATGATGGAGATATTCATTATCATGACTGTGAGGATGGTTTCACAGGTATATGGACACATAAAACTTATCAAATGGTACAAGTGCATTTGACAGAGTTCAATTATATCTTACTAAAGCTGTTTATCACTATAATTGCTTTCAATTTACCTCTTACCTAGCAATAGTGGATTTCAAACTAAAATGTTGAAATAACCAAAGCCTGAGAAAGCAATGATACAAGAATAAAGAATTCTTAAAAAATCTGGGTTTTGGTTCTCAATTTACCAAAAATTTTCTGTGACTTTGAGTATGTTGAATATATTGTTAATAAGAAAAAGAACACCCATCATTTATTAACCACACAGTTCATGCCAAATACTATGCTAGGAACGTCACATACGTAGGAGCATCATCTTAATCCATACAACCACCCTATGAAGTAGGCACTAACATTCTGATATTGAAGTTTAAGAAATAGGCTCAGAGGTTATTCATTTGTCTTAAGTCACAGTTTGTTAGCAGCTGAGTTGGGATTTGAACAAAGGCCTCTCTAAATCAAAAGTCTACCTACAACTTTCTTCCGCCACAACCTATAGTATAACAGGTGTCATGCTAATCCACCATCACCTCAATTTTCACTAAAGTGCTGTTAAAGAAAGTATATGTACTAAAAAATTTTAAGTTATTTTCTGGTTTTAAAAAATGTACAACAATTTATGACTAATTCTCCATAGAATAATAAAGAGTAAGAACATTTGGTACTATACAATTCTAGACGGCATTGCTTAACACTCCTTTGTAAATCCACAGCCAAAGAAAAGCAAGCTTTAGTAGGCCTGAGCACTGGATATAATCTCAATTCCAGAACTACTTCTTTGAGCCTTCAAGACAACACCAGACAAAAATAAAGACCAGCCTATATATCTTAACATAAAAATGACTTGTGACACACCTGCTTAGAAGTAAATACTGGTTATAGTATTCACCTAGTTCCAACAACAACAACAAAACAACACTAATCAGTTAGTGCTAGGTGGTGGTAGGGGAGTGGAGAGTATTTAGGCTTTCTGTGGTGATTTTCCTGATAATCTCTAATAATGGCCATATTATGGAGAAAGGAGAATAAATGAAGTCCAAACTATAGCCAGAGATAAATTTCACCCAAGAAGGCTTTTGTGGGTTAGAATGGGAACCTAATCACTTTCTAGAGTACTTTATGGGTATGTTTTACTGTTAAAGGAAACAATGTTAACTAGCAATTTTTACATTATAACAATTTATATTTTCTCAGTTTACACCCTCGGAAACCCTGTACAGGGTCGCTATGGGTCGGACCCGACTCGATGGCACTTAACAACAACAACAACAATCTGTAAACCATAAACCAGTTTCACTGAATAGTCAGTACATAATCAAATAATCGGTATTCAACATAGTGTACTCTTTAACTTACATGCATTTTTCCTTTACCGACATATATAGAAATTTATCAACAAGAATATACATTATTTGTTGTTGTTGTCAAGTGCCATCGAATAAGTTCTGACTCACAGTGAACCTGGTAAATTTGAACCACCGACCTTGTGGTTCAAACTGACCTTGCAGTGCAGTGCTTTATCCCACAGCGCCACACCAGGACCGCAAACATCATCTAGGACACTAGATTTATTGTTCCACAAATGATAAGAAAAACAGCTTCTATAAACATAGTCCAATTTATTTATTAAGTACCTAAGCTGGTCATTAATATATCTGAAAACAGAAACCACTATTTTCCTCAGTCACCAAATAAGAGTATCTGTTACATAAATACTGACCGCCAAAGCAATCCATATGTGCAGCTGTGTGTGCTCCTGTTTCAGAATACTGATAACTTCATCCCCCTCCGGTAACTGATCGAAGTCAAGTTCAATAACCTAAAACACAAAATATAGGGTTTAGCTCTCTCTCTCTCTTTTTTTCAAATTCATATTTCTTCTCTGAATGCTGCTTTTCTTGAATATACCTCAATATGCAGATAGTTAGGGTTTGTGTGTTCAATTTAAGCACAGTGAACTGTAAATATAAATCCATGTTTGTTGTTTTTGTTGTTGTTAAGTGTCATCAAGTCAGTTCCGACTCACAGTGACCCTGCACAGGGTTTCTGATGAGCAGCAAAGGGGTTTGAATTGCTGACCTTGTGGTTCACAGACCACTGCTGATCTTACAGCATCAGGAGTCCTCGTTAAGAACTGTTTAATAGAGCACATGGCAAGTGCGTTCTACTGTAATATTAATGTAAAAGGAAAGAAAAGCACAGACTTCACTAGTTGTCTTAAAAATCACTAGAATGATAGAACACTTCAAAAACTTTGCTTACTCAAAAATAACAACACAAAAATCCTGCTTAACTTGTAATTCAAGCAAAGTACAAATCAGCACCCTGTGTTGTTGCTGTTAAGCGCCATCGAGCTGATTTGGACTCATGGTGACCCTGTGAAGGTTTCCCAGGGGCAGCTGGTGGGCTTGAAGTACCAACCGGTTGTTGTGGTTCGCCTTCCAGTGCTTACCACACAGCGCCACACCAGAAGTCCATAAGCACCCTGTTTGCAAAAGTACCCCCTCCCAGGCAGTACACAGCACACATTACTAACAGTAATAAAAAAAATATTCCCACTGCCATTAGGCAGTTATGATGCTTAGACAACTTTGTGAACACAGGACAACCCACTGTCTTCTATGGCATGTGAACGATCTCAACAATGCATCTCAAGAAAGCAAGCACTAGTAAGCAGCAGCAGCATCCAGTAAGACCTAATGTCAATGCTGCCAGCAGCTCCAGGCCACCCACGGCTAAGGGGTCGGGAGAAGGAGCCTAACTGGGTCAGTATCACTGCCAAGCAGCTTCTCCTACAAACCCCGATGAGCTCTCTTGGGGTCCCTTCCGTCACAGGTCATCTGACTTTTGTGCTTTGTGTCCCGAAAGGTGGAAAGGGTGCCCAGTGAATCAGACTCCGTTCTAACGTTTGGTGGCTGTGTGTCGTCGAGTCGGTTCCGACTCACAGAGAAAGCCTCGTCTTTCTCCCGCGGCGCAGCCGGCGGGCTCGAACTGCGAACACTGTGGTCCCCAGTGCAGTGATTATCGTAGGGGGCCACCGCGCCGCCGTTTCTAGGGATGAAGGGGCGAAATCCTAGGTATTTCCAGGAAATGGTACCTAGTCTGAGCAGCAACAATGACATCAGCGCCCACCTCTAATCTGAGGCTGGATCTGCAGTCTATCGGGCGCTCTGTATTAGTTAGGAATAGACTGACGGGAACTTGCAGGAACTCCTCGGAGGGGCCCGGAGGTGGCGAGGACGCAGGTGTTTTCAGCTGGGGGCTGGGGGCTGGAAACGGACCTGAGCTTTGGGCGCAGATTTTGGCCTGCGCTCCTGGGGGAGGGGAAGCTCATGCTTCGGAAACCCAGGCGAGAGAGGAGAGGGGTGCGGACCGTCCAAGTTCACAGCTCCCCGCCTCCCCCATATTCGACACTTACTTCGTCAGTGTCCCGGAGGGGAATCTCGATGGAGCCTCGCGACATGATGAACCAGAAGGCGAGCGGGGGTCCAGCCCCGCCGATCGGCAGCCGGTAGTTCTCACTTCTGATCTTTCAGTGACTTAGCGGTGGGTCTGGTTCCAGTTGTGACTGCCGCCCTGCGGCGCAGCTGGAGCTCCGGCTTCTCCTTCCCGTCAGCAACTCAAACAACAAGCCGCCGACGGCGTCCGGCAACTTCCGGTGGCCCCGCCCCCTGCCCCGGAAGTATTCCTCGTGGGCGGTTGAGGCCTCTGATGGTTGTATTTGTGGCCCTCGTTCGCGGAATGATAGTAGGTTGACAGAAAATTTATAGGGTCTCTTTAGCCACAAGACTTCAGAGTCTGAACCCAACACGTGCGCAGGCCGGATTAAAAGTGCAAACGGCTCCGCCCTGAAGTGGGAGGAGCAACGCGTGCAGCCACCCTGAAGCAGGTGGTGAAAGTTCCCGCGCAGGTTCGGGCCTTGGGCACTACTGACTTGGAACCCCTGGCTATTGCACAAAGTTCTTTGAGCCCTTGACTCGTTCTCTGTCGGTTGGTCTTGCCCAATGTTTATTTCGCCCTCGGACTGCTACTAATAATACATTCATTCATTCCTCAATCCATTAGTTCATAGTTTTGAATAATAAAACTTGTAAGTATTATTATAATGCCATTGCACTTTCAGATTGTAATAATTTGGGGACAACTAGTAAGGTGTGCTTGATTCTCTGTACTTTTACTTTATTCCAGTAGAACCAACTTGTCATATGCTCCACTAAACATTGCTAAACAGGCCAACTGTCTTTAAATTGAGTTGTTATGTGCCTTGGAGTCGGTTCCGACTCATAGCGAACTTGTACAGGGTTTCCGAGGCTGTACATCTTTACAGGAGCAGAAAGCCTCATCTTTCTCCCCTGGAACAACTGGTAGTTTCGAACTAATGACCCTGAGGTTAGCAGCCCAATTCGTAACCACTATGCTACCAGAGCTCCTTTTAAATTGAGTACAAACCCGAATTAGACGAGGGGCTTCAAAAGTCCATGAAAAAATTCCATTTTTACACCAACTTTTTGAAACCCCCTTGTATGCATATTAAGATATATAGTACAGACATACCTCAGAGATATTGTAGATTTGGATCCATATCAACGCAATAAAGCAATACGGCAGTAAAAGCAAGTCACAAATTTTGATTTCCCAGTGCATATAAAAGTTAGGTAGTCTGTGTTGTTGAGTGCTGTAGGATCGGTTCCACTCATAGCAACCCTTCGTTTGTAGAGTTTCTGAGGCTCAGCTGGTGAGGTTGAGCCGCCGACATTGCGGTTAGCAGTCCACTGCTGATCCTACAGTGCCACACCAGGAAGTGTGCAGTAGCATTTTGAAAATTTTTGAAGTATTGTGAGAATTACCAAAACGTAAGCTCTGATAGCGTAGTGGTTACGAATTGGGCTGTGAACCTTAAGGTCAGCAGTTCAAAACTACCAGCCGCTCCACGGGAGAAAGATGAGGCTTTCTTCTCCCATAAAGATTTACAGCCTTGGAAACCCTGTACAGGGTCGCTATGGGTCGGAACTGACTTGATGGCTCTTAACAACAACAACAACACAGCACAGGCTACTAAGAAAATGGTGCTTGAGACAGGCAGGGTTGCCACAAAACTTCAATTAGTAAACAATGTGATATCTGCAAAGTGCAAGGAGGTATATACCGCCTGTGTACTAGAAAAAGAGTTAAAACCTACATTTTGTGTTTTAGGTTGTTGAACTTGACTTTGATCATGTGCTGGAGAGGTATGAAGCTACCAGTATTCTGAAACAGGAACACATATGGCTTGCCTCAGTGGTCAGTATTCATGAAACAAATGTTTTTATTTGTTGACTGAGAAAATAGTGGCTTCTGTTTTCAGATGTATTAATAGCCAGCTTGAGTTCATGAAAATTGCTTAATTGTACTATGTCTCTGGAGGGAGTCCTGGTGGCTAGGGAGTTATGCATTGGGCTGTTAATTTACAAGGCCAGCGGTTCAAATCCATCAGCAGGAGAAAGATGAAGCTTTCTGCTCCCAGAAAGATTTATAGCCTTGGGAACCATATTGCAGGGTCACTTTTATTGGAAGCAACTTGATGGTACACTACAACAACAACATGTCATGGAAAGGGTCCCTGGCAATGTTAAATGAAAGGTCAGTGGTTTGAGGGCGATGTGGCAGTTTACTACAGCCCTCAAAATGCCATGGGGTGTTCTATTCTGTTATAGAGGGTTGCTATAAGTCAGAATTGAGTTGATGCCAATATTTGTTGCTTGTTTTTAAAGTAATTGTTGTTAGGTGTCATCAAGTTGGTTCTGACTCATAATAGAGACCCTATACGTCCTCAGAGATTCTTCAGACTCTGAAGAATTGCAGCCAGAGTGCTCCTTAGAGGCCAAGATGGCCAAACTTCATCTCTCATACTTTGGACATAATGTCAGGAGGGACCAGTTGCTGGAGAAGGATATCATGTTTGGTAAGGTGGAGGGTCAGAGAAAAAGAGGAAGACCCTCAATGAGATCGATTGGCCAAGTGGCAGCATCGATGGACTCAAGCGTGGCAACAGTAGTGAGGTTGGCCCAGGATCAGGCAACGTTTCATTCTGCTGTACATAAGGTCACTATGGGTTGGTACCAACTCGATGGTACCTAACAACAACAACATACTTCCTCAGGTAGTAATGACATAAATAATAGTAACTTACAGGTATTGAATGTTTACTGTGGGTCAGGACTGTTTTGAGCACTTAACCTATTAAAACTCACTTTATCTTTAGCTGTGGATACAGTGGTCTGTCAGTAGGGTAGTGGGACAGAGGAAAACATATCTATCTTGTAGGATTGGTATGCAAAGAAGATGAGGAACCATTCCTTCAATGCTTATGTGTCTCTATATCTCCTGGCATGGTATTGTGGGATAAGCAGTGGGCTGCTGACTGAAAGATTAGAGGTTCAAACCCACAAGTCACTCCTCAGAAATCCTATACAGGGTTGCTATGAGTTGGAAGTGACTCAATGGCACTTAAGAATAAAGCTCTAATTTAGAAACTCTACCCTTAGGATTTTCTCTCTTCAAGTGGAATACAGATGTTCAAACTCTTCGGTTTCATATTAGTCTCAGTGATCAGTACACGGTCCTTCCTTGTTGTAGGAATTTTTTTACTGAATCTTGTTTAAGGAAAAAGGAGATATAACTTGATGTACCCTTCAAAGATGAGTAGGATTTAAATAGGCAGAATTGTGGGAAGGGTGTTTCAAGCAGAGAGCAAAATCATGAGCAGAATCTTAGGGTAGGAATAACACTGACACCATCACAAGGTTAAAACTTTTATCAATTCTTTGATATCAATCTTCTGTCCCATCTCCTTCAGGAAACCTTCCTTGTTAATATCCTTCTACAAGAATTTCTCTTCCTATTTTTATTATTGTCTTTGAAAATTACTTGGGATTGAACTATATATACTTTTTTTTTTTAATGTTTTATTGTGAATTATGTGATAGTTTACATGGGAGAACATTAGTTTTACATTCATTCTATCATATATTGTCTCTCACTGCCACGGTTACAATCCCTTCCATGCAATCCTTCCCCCGTACCCCCCAGGTCTTCAGCACACAGTTGCTCTCCCTCTCTGGATCTAAAGTCTCTAGCTGCT